TTTTTATTTATTGTAGAGACAAGGTCTTGCCAAGTTGCCCAGGCTGGTCTCGAACCCCTGAGCTCAGGCAATTCTCTTGCCTCCACCTCCCAAAGTGCTGGGATTACAGGCGAGAGCACCTGGCTTCTCTTGGTCTCTTAATGCCTGCCCTATCTTAGGATGTTGTGTGTTTCTCACTCTTTGTGAGATTTTTGTTTTTGGTCAGGCTGCATGTCCTCTCATCATTTCTGTCTTTTGTGTCTTCCTCTCTGACTCTGACTGCCCAGTATCTCTGTATCTCACGGTATCTGACCGTGGCCTCTGTGTTTCACACTGCCTTTGCATCTGTCTCCTCTGAGATCCGGGACCAGCTGAAGGAGGAGGAGATCAACATTTACCAGTTCCCTGAATGTGATTCTGACGAAGACGAAGACTTCAAGAGACAGGATGCGGAGATGAAGGTGTGAAGACAAAGGAGGAAGGGGCAGAGAAACAGAGGAGGCGGATGTGGAGGTTTGGAGCCGAGAAAGAGATTTCTGCCCATGCGAGTCAACGTTGACTCCTGACCACTGCCCTGCAGGAAAGCATCCCTTTCGCAGTCGTGGGCTCATGCGAGGTGGTGAAGGATGGTGGGAGCCGACCGGTGAGGGGACGTCGCTACACCTGGGGTACTGTGGAGGGTGAGTAAAGCCAGGCAAGCATACTGAGGCCAGCGGAGTGCTAGGCTGCCTCTGAGTCAACGGCACTCGACATATGAGGTTGGGATGGGCTTTGGTCTCTAGGGAGTCCTAGGAGCCAAAAAAGGGGGTCCTTGGGCTTCAGACTGCGGGCCATCTGCTAGAGTGGCAGCAGGACTCCCTGCAGACCCGACTTTGCGGATGGGATTGGAGCCCAAATCCCTGACGTTCGCTGATCCGCCCCCCAGTGGAGAACCCACAACACTGCGATTTCCTAAACCTGCGACGGATGCTGGTGCAGACACATCTGCAGGATCTGAAAGAGGTGACACACGATCTGCTCTACGAGGGCTACCGGGCCCGCTGCCTACAGAGCCTGGCCCGGCCTGGGGCTCGAGATCGAGCCAGTCGCAGGTCAGAGTCAGAGCCAACTGTCTTGGTGTTTTTAAGGCCCCGCTTCCAAGGTCCCACCCTCCACCATGGCCTCGCCTCCCAGGCCGGGTCTTCACCACCTGTGACCCCGCCTTCACCACCCAGACCTTTCCTAGACTCTATCCACCTAACTTTCCCTCCGGCCTGGACGTGGTTCCGCCTCCTAGACATCCCAGGCTCTGCCTCTGCGTCCTCACCCGCAACCTCAGGCCCCGTTCCTGATTCCTGTCACCTTCCTTACTACCCCGCAGTAAGCTTTCCCGCCAGAGCGCCACAGAGATCCCGCTGCCCATGCTGCCTCTGGCGGAGACCGAGAAGCTGATCCGCGAGAAAGACGAGGAGGTGAGCAAGCACCTCGCTTCCCCCCCGGCCAAGGCCCCAGGTCCTCGTCGAGGTCCCTCTCCGGCCTCGCCCGGTCCCACCGCCTGCAATCTTGTCCTGCACAGCTGCGCCGCATGCAAGAGATGCTGGAGAAGATGCAGGCCCAGATGCAGCAGAGCCGGGCTCAGGACGAGGAGTCGGACGCGCTCTGAGGCCCCCGCCCCGGCCCTGCCTTACCTCGGCTCCGCCTTCAGTCCGCCTCTTGTCCAATCCTCGCGCCCCAGACTGCCCAGCGCCTAATCCCGGAGCCCCAGCCGAGCGGCCCGCCCTTGTCCTGGCTCCGCGTAGGTTATCGGGCTCAAGGGATCGCCCCAATCCTGGAGGGTTGCGGCCCCGCCCCTGACTCCGCCCCTAGCTTCGGCCCCGCCCCCGGCCTGCCCTCCCCCTCCGCTCACCGACGGGAACCTCCAGCCCAGGCCCTACTGCTCCTCTGCATCTTCCAGAGTTGCCCCTCATCACCCAAGCTGTCTTCAATAAAAACTGAGCTTCTCTGAGGCCGCGCGCGTCTTCTCCGCCCTAGCGGGAACGCGTGTCGGGCGGAGCGCGTGGAGCCACCCCACGCAGGCCTCCAGGCCACTGCTCATTCCTTTGGCGGGCGCTCCCTTCCGGCCGGGCAGTCTCACACGAAACACGCTGAAGGCGCTGCCGCCGATAAGAAACGAAGACCAGTTGGATTTTATTGGGATTCGGGTGGGGGTCGGACTGGCTAGAAGCGCTGGCCGCAGAGGCCCACGAGGGTCCCCTACTCCTGGTCCTTGGCGTCGCCATGCGTGATGACGTAGCAGATGTTCTTGTAGTCTACGTTGCCGCCCACGTCCGGGGGGAAGGCTGCCCACATGTTCTTGATCTGGGGGAAGATGCAGGGCTATCTCCTACCGGCCCTTGCGTTCCCCCTTCCTTGCGCCTTCGCTTCTCCCGGCCCCTCCCTCACTCACCTCATCTTTAGTGAAGCGGTCACACTGAGTGGTAAGCAGCTCCTCCAGGCTGCAGGGGGGTGACACATGGGGAGTTGAGATGGGGTTCGTGATTCCTTTCTACTCCCTTCCATCTCATCCCCGTTGCCACCCTCAGTCTCCCATGAAAACCGGGGTCGCTCTAGATCCCTCACTGACCTCCCAAATACTCTGGCTTCCTTGCTTTTGCCCTTCCCCAAAATTTACTGTAAAAATGCAATCCTACCGCTTATTTCCATAGTCCTAACTTCTCCCTTACCTCTGGTATTGCCTGAAACTTGGTAGTAATTTAAGGGGAAAGCAGCTGGCAGGAGACACTTACAACTGCTTCTTGATGGTGCCTTTCCCGTCAGGGTCCAGGACCTTGAATGCTCCAGTGATCACATCTTCAGGGTCAGCACCTAGAGGGTTCAGAGGTCACATGAAGGGTCTGACCCTGGAGCGTCCGGGAGAAGGCAGCTGGGGGGTTAGACCCAGGACGCTTCACTCACCCTTGAGCTTTTCCCCAAACATGGTCAGGAAGACGGTGAAGTTGATGGGACCACTGGCTTCCTTCATCATGGCATCTAGCTCCTCATTTTTCACATTGAGGCGGCCTGGAGGGGGTTGGGGGAAGCATGGGCTGAAGCAGTCTCCTGGGGCCAGGGCTGTGCTTCCAGTGAATTCTGATCATCCCATCCATTTTTCAGCTGGATAGACTGAGGCCCAACGTGGAGCTGACAGGGCTGGAACCCCAAACCACTGAATTCTCTGGACTCTGCAACCTTGGATATTTAGTGGTGGAAGTAGGGGGCTCACCCATGGCTGCGAAGGTATCCCGAAGGTCCTCCTTGTCGATAATGCCATCACGGTTCTGGTCGATTACAGTGAAGGCCTGTGGAGGGTGGGGGTGGGGACAGGTTAGGTCCCCCATGGCCAGGCCTCAGCATCCCTATCCCTGGCAGATCTGATTCTGGCCTCTAGCCAGCTGTCCTCTTCTACCCCAAGCTGGGAGGGAAGGAGGAATTCTAAACCCCTCCCCTCCCTCCAAACAGGTGCACATTCCAGGGAGGGGGAGGGGCAGCAGGGGGTGCCTTTGGTCAACCTTCAGTCTCCCCTCTCCCTTCACTCACCTCCTTGAACTCCTGGATCTGAGTCTGGTCAAACATGGAGAAGACATTGGAGCTTCCGCCCTCTGCTGCTGCCCTTCTCTTGGCCTTCTTGGGTGCCTGAGGTGGGGGTGTGAGGGTTGGGTAAAGGGGTCCGTGGGCCAGTCCCTATACCTCTGAGGCCAACAGGTTAGATTCAGAATTATTTGAGCCCTTTCTTCTTTTTTTTTTTCTTTTTGAGTTGGAGTCTCACTCTGTCACCCAGACTGGAGTGCAGTGGCTGCTCCCGGCCACCGCAGCCTCGACCTGCTGGGCTCCGGCGATCCTTCCGCCTCAGCCTTCTGAGTAGCTGGAACTACAGGCACGCACTGCCACGCTCGGCTCATTTTGATTTATTGTAGAGATGAGGTCTCGCCAGTTGCCCAGGCGGGTCTCGAACCCGCGGGCTCAGGCAATCCACTCACCTCAGCCTCCCAAAGGCACGGGATTACAGGCTGAGCCACCGAGCCCGGCTTGAGTCCTTTCTTCTAAAGCAACTCTTTTGGCCTGGGCCTCTCCCTCCTTAGGACCTCCTTGCTGAGGGGGCTCGCTTGGGGTGCCTTCCCCAAATTCCTATCTGTAGCTTCCTGTCCACATCCCTCCATTTTATCCAACAGATAGAAGCTTCCTTCCCTTTTCAGTACCCCAGGCTGTGTGACACTGATCTACTCATTTACCCTGCCTGAACCTCTACCTTCTCCCTTATAAATTAGGAATGGGAATCCTTGTCTGGCTGGTGTGCAGGAAAGGATGGAGCAAACTTTGAGGGACTGGAACCTGTGAGTGGAGTGTCTGGGCAGATTATCTCTGGTTGAGTCCTTTAGGCCAACACTCTGCCTGTTCCCCATCAGCAAGAAAGTGAGGAGCATCGTTTTACCTTGTGTTGGACTTGGAACGAGCTACTTTTTTTTTTTAAGGGTTGAGGCTTCCCTGAGATCTAATGGATCTGGGCAGGGGCTGGAAGATTCTCACTCACCATGTCTTCGGTCTCGTGGGGCAAGGCAGTGGCTCTGGCTGGAAAGAAGCAGAGAGTCAGCTCGGAGCAGTCCCTCTGGGGTTATATAGTCCTGCCCCAGGGAGCCCTTAACATACCAGGGTAACCTTAGCCTTGCGGGTGCCCACCCCAGATACCAAAATAGCCCGACTCAGGGCCTCTCCTTTCTTGGAGGGCCAGCAGCAGCTGGAACCCAGGGAGGGAGGGAGGGAGGAGGGAGTGGATCTTGGGATGCATATCTCACTAGGGCCTGGGCAGGAAGGGATGTTCTTTCTCCCAAAAGGGGGCTGGAATATGCCACAGTTCAGAGGGGGCTGAAGCCAAGGCACAGTTTTGGAAGAGAGAGATGAACCAGACCCTATATTCCTGAGTGGTGTGGGCCTAGATTTAAACCCAGCACACATTTATTATTAAGTGCTGGGCTGGTTTTGTGGGTGCACTTTGGCAAACACAATCCTTCTACTCCGACATTGTGGAGTTCATAATCAAATGTGTGGGGGTAGGAGGGAGAGAGCCATCTATGGAAGCTGGGAGAATCAGAAGGGTCTCCTACATTACCTTTAAGGAGGAAGGGGATGAGTATCTTTGTGAGGAAAGATACTCTGTGATCTTGGGCTTTGTGCTTCAGCCCCCTGGGCCTTGGTTTTCCCCTTGATGAAATGGAGATATAATTCTCATCCCACCGCCCTTGCATTATAATAAATAATTATGCCCTGCCTTGTTGGAACTTATGGTTTAGCCATAGAAATAGGAATGAATGCAGAAAATGACACACCTGCTTGTCAGGAGCTCAGAATTAGAGGGCACAGCAGCTTCCTAGGAGTATGGGAATGGCTTCATAAAGGCCAGTAGAAGTGAGTCAAGCACAAATGGAGGGGCAGGCATGCTAGAAGAGTAAAAGCTCAGAAGTGCTGGGATTGTGATGGAGCTGGAGCAGAGGATGCAGAGGGCTGGTGACCAGACCCTGGAGGACTTCGATGACAGGCAGAGAGTGGAGAGACCCTGGGGAGACTTGGAAAAGTTTGAAGCGGAGAAGGACATGGTTGAGTATGAGCCTAGAATCATCTCTGAGTAGTGGTATAGAGTCTGGAACTCAGAGGAGGGGAGGCAAAGATGCCAAGAGGGAAGCTAGCCGGCCACCTCCTCCAAGGTGGCGGGGTGGCCAGTGGCTTCTCTCTTTTTTCTGGGAAAGAACCAGCTTGGCTGACTGTGTGACTTTGAAGTACCTTCTCCTACCCCTCTGGGCCTCAGTGACCCAGTCCCATCCATGCAGTAGAAGTCTGGGGACATAGTAGCTGAGGAAGACCCAGGCTGGTAAGGACAACCATCTCCTTCTCCTGCTTCTTCTAGGACCTGATGTCCTGAGGAAGGTGCCTCCTCCCTCCCCCTGCTGCAGCCCCATGCCAATGCCTCTAAGACATTTTCTTTTCTGGGCACTGGGGCCCAGCCACCTGTTGTCTCTAAGAAGGGAGAAGGAGCCATCCTAAACTTAGCAGCTGCCCTTGGCCTCCCACACTGGCCCCTCCCTGCCTCAGACAGCAACTGCTTTGCCCTATAGGGTTACTATGGGGGTCCAGGCCAGGGAAAAGCCCACTTTTTACTGGATTCTGGGAGAGGAGGAGGACTCCAAAAAGGGAAATGGGAGGACTGCTCAGGAAGCTTGGGTCAAATGGAAGGTGAAGAGATTAGACATTGAATGGGAATTCACAGGGTTTGGGTCTGAGTTGGGAGTGAAGAACCTCAGAGATCTCAGAAACCAAGGAGGAACTGGGAAGTAGGGAGTTAAGTCTGACAGAAACTTGAGTATTGTGGATGCTGTATGGAAATTTAGGCCTTTTTTTTTTTTTTTTTTAGTTGGAGTCTCACTCTGTTACCCAGGCTGGAGTGCATGGAGTGCAGTAACTGGAACTACAAGCATCAAGCACGTGCCACCATGCCCTGCTAATTTTTTTATTTATTGTAGAGATGAGGTCTCGCCAAGTTGCCCAGGCTGGTCTCGCACCCGTGAGCTCAGGCAATCCTTTCACCTCGGCCTCCCAAAGTGCTGGGATTATAGTCCTGAGCCACCGTGCCCAGCCAGAAATTGAGGCCTTCTAAGCCCAGGGTTAGGATAGTGGGAGTCAGAGAGAGAAGGGGATGTGTAGCAGTTAGAAAGTTGAACCACATAAGGTCAGGTTTATGATCTATGGGCAACCTGGGGGGATCATGAGATTGGGTGTCTGGGTTATTTGCAGAAAATGAGGAGCCCAGAGAGGTGTGGCAATGAAGGGAGAGGGGTTGATGGGACTGGAGTCCTGGATTCCCAAAGCAATAGGAACAGATATGGGGAGCTTATGGTATTGGGGATTCATGGATTTGGGGTATGGGATCTCCACTGGAGATGCAGGGGACTCATAGGGATGAGGTCTGAGGAACTGAGAGGTATGAGGCCTGAGGAACTGGAGCCCAGGTTTTGGGGAGAGGCTCAGATAGCTGCGAGCTGAAGAGAGGTACTTGGGATTCCCGCAGGAAGTGGGAAGTCCAGAACGATGGATCGTGTATAGGATTCTAGGGCTCTGGTATAGCCACCTGGGCCTGGAGTGTTGGGGTTGGAGGCCAGGATTGGAGAATTACAGAGTACTGAATCAGGGCAACGGATCTGTGGTGGGGCTCAGGGTCTCACAGAACACCAGAGTGGGGGTGGAGGCTCGGGAGCTGAATGGAGAATGGGGGCCCGGATAGGACTCAAGAAGAGCAGCGCAGTACTCATTGGCTAAAAGGCTGCGTTAATGCCTCCGCCCCTTTTTCGCGCTGTCCCGAACTGTTACCCTCCTTTCGCGCTTGTCTCCGGTTGTTACCAACTGTCCCTGGACTGGCACCGCCTACTGGTAACAACTCTGCCCTTTCGATGCTACTATTGGCTGAGACAGATATCTCTTTACCCACCCTGTTGCTCAAGTGGGAGAACACAATCATTGGCTGACGAGCCAAATTAATCGCAAAGTTGTCCCGCCTCCCCCCTGCTGTCATTCCTTTCTGACCATCTTGAGAGACCTAAAGAATTCCTCAGCCCTTCCTATTGACTGCGGATGCTGTCTGTCACCGTCCAACTAGACAACACTGTCCCTTTGACCTCCAGCTGCTCCCCTTTTCATTGGCTCCCTCTTTTTCGTTCCTGTCGGCCAGGGAGCGCCCAGACTCCCTCTCAGTAGCCCCGCCCCTGCCTTTTTCCCCGCCCTTCCGCGGTCATTCACTCTTTAGCCATGCTTATTGGCCAGGAGGTTCCGGCTCCTTCTTTTCTATTAGTGACTTCCTTCGTTCCGCCTTCTCCTGCCTTCGCTCGCCCTCTGATGGGTCCCATATAATTCTCCGCCTCCTCTATTTCCTCTTTCCAGATGACCCACCCCCTTTCCTTCGCCAGACCCACCCTCTCTTCCGACGATTGGCAGAAACCCAGTTCCCTCTCTCCTGTTATTCGTCCGAGTCCTCTGACGGGGCGGGAGAAAAAAAGGAGCGCGAGGGGCCGGCTCGCGCGCAGGCGTAGAACGCCGAAACGCTGGCCGCTTAGCCGGCTCTGCAGCGTGTGCGCAGGCGCGAGGTC